CACAAAAGCCCCCGGCACACAAAACCCGCCTATGGCACTTCTCCATACTGGACAAACTAAATCCGGAACCGGGGAGGGGGGAGAGAATGAAATGAAAGGAGGAGGAAATTAAAAAAAAAAAAAGAAAGAAAGAAAAAGAGAGAAGAAAAAAAAAAAGAAGAAAAGAAAAGCCGAAGCCCATTCCTGGAACTATTAGGGAAGAATAACTGCTCAGCCAAACGTCTGTGCGGGGAGAACTGCAGCCAGCCAGCCATCCTCTGTGTGACTCGCCCGCTTCCTCTTTGAGTTGCTGTTGTATGTAATATATTTATGTATGTATTTGTAAATGTAATAGAGCCTAAATGTGGTTTTCTGCATCTTGCAGCCTGTTATATTTTCTTTGTAGAGAAACTAATTATTAATTTCCCATCTGCATCTGCTCCAGGGCATCTTTCCTTGTTTGATTGATTTTTTTTTTTTTAAGCTCTGTGGACTTAACTCTGTCAAAGACAAACTGCACCGCTTCTATTGGAGCTGGAGCCCATTTTTTTTAAAGCAGTTCTAAATTCAGGCGAATAAGGAGGCCTGGCCCCTCCAAAAAAAAAGAAGAATGGAGATGTGTCCTGTTGGTTTAATTTCTGCCTCCACCCCCCCAGTATAACTGTTACTCTAAAAAGAAAAAAAAAAGTGTTTTGTGGTCCTTCCCTTTTCTTTTGTCTCCCCCTCCCTTCTGCTGTGGAAGATGAACTCTCATGGGCAGTTTGGTGGCCCTGAGCTGCAGCCTCACCTTTTTATTTTTCAATTTCTAAATAAAAAGACGGGGTTTTTTTTGTTTGTTTCTTTCTCTAGCAAGAGACTTTGGACAGCTCAGTGTGACCTTATACTATGCACAATTAAAAAAAAAAAAAAAAAAAAAAAAAAAAAAACCTATGTAGCGGTTTCATAAATAAAAGTATAAGCTGTGTCTTGTACCTCTTTTTGCCCTGAGCCACCCTGCCCAGGACAGCCGAAGCTCCTGGCTATGAACGTCACCCGTCCCCTCCCCACTTTTGTTCTAAAACAAAGACTATGGAGGCATCTCCTGGTCCTTCTTGTCCTACACCAGTGCGGTGAATGTTGTAGGAGTTTAATTTCTTTTTAGCCCTTACTCCACCTAATAAAGGTCTGAGCATATCACTGGTGTTTGTCTGCATTTTCCAAGGCCCCAGGAGCAGTTCTGCCTTTGCAGCCTCCCGCTTTGCCCCTCGGGGCCGGGAAGCAGCCAAGGGCCGCTGTTCCCGATGGGGTGGGAAAAGCAGGAGCGGAGCCTGCGCGGGATACAGAAGGAAGCGCCCAGGTGAGTGCGAGCAGCCGGGCCGGGAGCGGCAGGAGCTGAGGCGTCTGTGCTCACCTAGCAGCGCTGCTGCCCCAGGGCCACCTCTGTTACCTGCGCTCAGAGCTGCTCCCCCGCACCATGAGCTTTATTCCTGGTGAAGGGGGTTAGTGGTTTTTTTTTTTTTTTTCAAACACCTCACACATACAAGCAAGTTTCCCTTTGTCCCTTCCTCTACAGCTCAAGCTAAACAGGATGTTTTCCATCCTCCTGCCCACTGCTAAGGCAGGTTTCTTTTGCATCCGTTTCTTCTCTCAGCCTGTTGGTCCGGGAGGCCCCAAGCTCCTTTGATATTGGAGCTAGTGCCTCAGAGCTGAACTTGGTGACACAGAGCAGGGCTGAGTGTGCGGGCAGTGCCTGCTGCCCCAGAAGCAGCTTGTGCAGGTTCTGCCATTCCGGCTACGGCCACAACCTCTTGCAAGCAGCTTTTGCTACTTCTGAAGCTTTAACCTCCAGCCTTTTTCTCAGCTGTTGAGAAGCTGCCAAGTTTTCCTCCAACCTCCCTCCCTCCAGCATTGCCGTCGAGCTTGACAGCAGAAGGGATGAGCGCAGCAGTAGCTGCATATCTAACTACTACGTGCATCGTGTACGGCTTAACAGACAACAGGCCTCCTTCCTGCTAATTTTAGCCCAACTGCAGCACCCACTCACTGCAGAAAACCCTGCTAAAATATCCGTCTTGCAGGGAACAGGGCACTAGCAAGAGGTGGGTTTCCTGGTGGCACTAAAAAAGGAGCCACGTCCTAGATTCAGCTTAGAGCAGGTTTCTGTACAAGCTCCGAGACCTTCCCCAGCTCCGTGCCTGGTCTCTAGCACCACTT